CGTGACGCGTTGCGAATTTGCGATGAAAAGCTTGTAGCCTTACAGCTTGCGCCCACTGTAAGATGTGGTTGCCGTGGAATTGATGCAGCACCTCGAATACGGACCGGCATTTTTAACCCCAAAAGATTTGCGTGTACTCGTGCAGTGTAAAGTTTGCAATCCGCCTATTTGACGATGTGCTGAACTGGTATTTGTTTGTTTTTTTAAAATCCCCCGACAAGAGAAGAAGGCGTGGCTAATTGAAAATCACACTCTGATACCTGATGGCCAGTTGTGCGGTGTATTGTGAGAGCTTGGGATGCTGTACCCTCTGGCCTCTTGTGTGTTGTGGTCGCAATGGTGTGGTTAGTGGTGTCCGTTAATCGCAACTCAGGAAGGGCAGTCGTTTTAAAACTAAGCATGGGGATTCTTACCAGAGTGGGCTGTTAAAAGTTTCGGATGGTACAAGCATCTGTGAACACTGTTCGATTGTTGGCTGGCGTTCAAGTACAAGAACTGTCTGATAGTTTGTAGCTCTAATTCATGTGTCGCGTTGAGAATGCATTCGTTAAATCTAACAAGAAGGAGGGCTAGCTACACGCTTAAAGTCAGTTCTATGCTGCATTGTGAAAGTTTGTGGTGTCGTGTACATTGTGCTACAGTGGTCGCAATTGTGTTGTGTCCCTTCATTTCACCTCAGGCATGGAGAGCCCGTCTAAAGCTCTGCATAGTCTACCATCTGTCTCATTTTCCACAAGACAATCGTTTGCAATATATCTATTGTTGCTGAACAATTCAACAAGCCATATTTCATGTCTATGGAATTAAAGTTGTGTGTGGAGAAACATGGTGCTGTAGAGCTACGGATTGAAGAGTTGAGTGTGAGTGGTCACTGACAGCTTCCTGTCGCGCTCAGTGCCCATTGTGTTCGGAAGAATTTTTTCAAGTGTGCTAGGGGTGATCAAAGATAGAAAGTTGAGCTGCATATTATATCGTAGATAGACGTAGAGAATGTAGAATACTATATAGATGGCACTCAAGGTCGTCATTTTTCGCAAGTCCGAACAAAGGCTGTAGTGCCCTATCAACCTCTAAATTCGCGACCTATTAGGCCGGCTTTTACTTCTTTGGGGTAACTTTGTATGTTGTCTCACTTCAAGTTAAACAGTTTTAAAATAGCAGAAACGCTTTTCGTATCACTCCAAACTAAAAGATATTGGAGGTAATGTTCAGCTCCTAATCGCCTTTCTTTTCGTTGTCAGTAAATACACTCGTCCGCCAGATACGAAAGTTGCTTCATCATTCGTGTTGCGTGTGTTCGTGAAAAAAAAATAGCTGTGCATGTACGAGAAAGTATTTAGATATTTTTTATCAAATGACTATACCTGATGCAGAACAGGGACACAGGTAAAGTGGTATTTGTGTCTAGTATCTTCGCGCATGCATGTTATAATACTCGCATATCAACCCTATGTGGCCGGTTGTTTTGCATGTGCGCGAGAAGAGCATGTCGCCTTGTGTATGTCCGCACAATGGGTGCATACGTAGCTCTATTTGTTCAGGTCGCAACACTCCTGTGTCCACAATCAATCTACAATCTTCCCAAGGATGTGTATGGCACGGCACTTATATATATACAGCATGTCACATTCAAAGACCGATTGGTATACGTATACATTTACGTCTGAAGATCAGTTCACAAACAACTCAACACATTAATAGTGACCATATATACACACTATGAGCATATCATCTGCACACGTCGTAAGAGTTCTTGCTGACAGAATTTCAAAGGAATCAATGTACATCAGCTCTGTACTCAGTAAGCATCAAGTGAGAATAAACACGAGATTTTGTTTTGAACGGCGTCAATCTTCAGGCTTTTGACCCCAGTCGCAGTGTGAGTGACAATAAATGGTCGATGCATACTAATCCCATACCATGTGCACGTATATATGAATGCCATAAGCAAGCCTCCACGTGTGTTCCGACATATAAGCAAACAGACACACACAACTACCAGCGCTGCATCGAGGGTATATGTACATCTCCGCCGAAATGACCTGTTGACACGGTACTTGTCGGTATTGCAGCTGACTTGTTAACCGAGCTCTAGTGTAGTCACACTTTCAAGAACACACTTATCGATAAACCTGTAAACATTTACGCATGTGCTCCCTACATATATGAGAATATCTCGTCCAGAAGATTCAAAGACATGGTACATGACGGCATTCCAGTGACAGACTATTGATGATGTCTGTACTGCCATTCAAATCCACACGCTGATCGATGAATACACCTTTGTTCCAGAATATGCAAAATAAATACCAATGTAAAATGAGAAAATGTGGTTGAAATGAATATGCATACATAGTTCGGAAAGAGTACTCCGACCTCGACAGCTGGAGAGTGAGCAATATTCTAACATTA